GGATGAGAAAAAAGAGGCGCCAGAAGAATAGATAAAAGAGGAGAAAAAAGAGGCGCCAATACAAGAGGAGAAGGAAAAAGTGGAAGGAAGTGTGAAGAAGCGACGCCCTATATTCATTTGGCAACCCACCGTGATTATGGGTAGTGTGCTTCGGATACCGAGCTTTGTCCAAACATGCACTCTCAAGGCGACAGAGCTCTATAATTTTATGAAGATGGATCGTGCGGATCGGCTTTGGAAGTCAGAGATTGATTATTTGAGAAAACCAAGGTTCTGAGAAGACCATTTGCAGGAGCGAATCTGGCTGAAGGATGGGGTAAGTTCATTTCTATTATACCTTTCAATTATTCATTTGGTCACTTTGGTCACTTTTGGTCACATTGGTCACTTTTGTTAACTTTGGTCACGTTGGTCCCACTAGTCACGTTGGTCCCACTGGTCACGTTGGTCCCACTGGTCACTTTGGTCTTCTTAATGCGATCTGACGTTATTTTATAGCACTTGGGCGAAGCTGTACTTGAAATCAGGAATCGCCTGGCCAAAGAAAGTTGTCCAACAGCAACAAAGTACATGATTGGCGACACAAGTTTCGGCGAATTCCTCAAATGGTGGGGCCATGGTACTATGACTGATTTGAATGGGCTTGAGGACTACTTTGACGAAAAAGCACCGGTAGGGTGTGGGGATCGCAAGATGGGAAGTTACGAAGGATTTATCACTCCCCTCAGCATACCCTCGTTGGTCAATCCTGATGTAAGTGTGCATTGGGTGGCCATTAGATGCATCCCTGTGAAGAAGCTGATTCAGGTATTTGACTGCAACCTCAAAATGAGGCCGGACGTTGACGCGATTATTGGCCGGTTGGTGTGGTGGCTCCCAAAGATATATACGGTCGCCAAGATATACCAATTTGATGAAAGCACCATGTTTGACTATCATTACGTCGAAGGGCAGCCTCAAAATGGTAACAGAGATGACTGCGGTGTGTTTACCATCATGTACCTTGAAGCCCTGATGCGAGGTCAAGAAAGAATACTGTGCAATCAAATTTGCGATGAAAATAGTTCATCGATTCGTGAGAAGATTGCTGCGGATATCTTCTCAAATGGCCAGATTGTGAGTCTTGCTCCCGATGTAAGACGTGACGATTCCTCCCCAGATGCAAGATTAATGATGATATTTCTTGTATTCTGTTTGAACCTTTGAACCTTTGACTTTATTTTTTGTGTTAGATATTTTCTGAATGTTTATTGCGGGAAAATTTAAATTTTCGGAATTGCATATTGGCCAAAATTTTGGAATTCGGTTGGCGGGAAAGTTTAAATTTTCGGAATTGCATATTGGCCAAAAAGTGGAACTGCTTTTCTGCAGAATCAGATGTGTGGGCCCGCTGTAAATGGTATTGGTGCACATCTCCCCATAAACCTAATTCTAACTTCATTACCCCAAACCAGAAATTCAAGTATCCAGACCAGAAACCCTATTACTAAACCGGAAATGTAATCCCCTAAACCGGATTTTATCACATCCCGACGGTTCCACTGGTCCCACTGATCGAATTTCACGAATTCAACGCTTTGAGAGTGTAATGTACTATCATACAAATGGTTCGGAGGAGGAATCGGGAATGAAAGTCGTTGAGCATTATTCGATCGAAAGCTATGAACACAAAACGAATCTCATAAGTGTTAGTAGTGTTTTAGGAACACTTTGGATCAAAGTAACTTTGTGTTCAGAAATTTTTTGTTCAAACCGCTTACGAGATGTTAGTTTGAAGTGTAATTACATCGTTTCACAGCGCACCAACCTTGTTTGGCTCCCCCATAGTTGATTTGGTTCACTTTTATCACATCCTGACGGTCCCACTGGTCCCATTGGTCCCACTGGTCCCACTGATCGAATTTCACGAATTCAACGCTTTGGGAGTGTAATGTACTATCATACAAATGGTTCGGAGGAGGAATCGGGGTTGAAAGTCGTTGAGCATTATTCGATCGAAAGCTATGAACAAAAATTACATTGTTCAAGAGGAATACAAGTTACATTTAACGCAGACTAATTATGCGAATAATTTCAAATTTGTTCTTTTTGTTCAAACCGCTTACGAGATGTTAGTTTGAAGTGTAATTACATCGTTTCACAGCGCACCAACCTTGTTTGGCTACCCCACAGTTGATTTGGTTCACTTTTATCACATCCCGACGGTCCCATTGGTCCCATTGGTTCCACTGGTCCCACTGGTTCCACTGGTCCCACTGATCGAATTTCACGAATTCAACGCTTTGAGAGTGTAATGTACTATCATACAAATGGTTCGGAGGAGGAATCGGGGTTGAAAGTCGTTGAGCATTAAGAGTGAATTGAACTTCGAATAAAATTACATTGTTCAAGAGGAATACAAGTTACATTTAACGCAGACTAATTACGCGAATAATTTCAGATTTGTTCTTTTTGACGAATCCGATTGTGAAAATGACGATGTTGAACTATGGGGTCTTTTACGCCTCGCCAGGTCCAGGGAAACGATTCTGTTTAGGTCTTCCGGTCCGCCGTTTTTCTTCTATTATAGGCGGCATCACTGAAAAATTTAAAATTTCGGGCGGGACAACCCAATCACAAATATCGGGCACCGGATAGACAGTCTCTTGGTAAGCCTTGACCTAAATCTCTCGCCAGTAATA